AAGATAAATTGGAAAAACTGGGACAATCCTCCTGGAGAGAGAAGGAAGAGTTGAAATCCAAGTGAAGCATTTAAAATCATGAAGAGTAAGGAATTCACAAATTCGATCCATGCTCTCTTGGTTCACAATCTATCCACCAATGGGAGAAGTTTGTCTTCATCTGCCTTTGGGGCTTTTCTTAATGAGGTGAAGGAATTGGGTATTGCTGGTGTAGGGTGGGGAATGTTGGGGTGGGGCTGGAGGTGGGGAATGTCGGGGTGGGGTGGGAAATGTCAGTGTGGGGATAGGGAACGTCAGGGTGGGGGTGGCATAGATGTAGATCACTTCACAAACTCTGTGTTTCTGTGAAAAGTCCCTCATGATCTCTGTCTCACTGTTCCTCTCTTGCAGCCTCAATACAAGATCGCTGACCCAATCTGTACTTACATCTTCTCCTTCCTGGTGCTGTGCACAACTTTCCGAATCCTACGTGACACCAGTTTAATCTTCTTGGAAGGTATGAGCTTCAGTGTGATATTCCCTCCGGATTCCAGTTGGCCAGTTACAGGGAAGGTCAGTGTAATGTGGTGCTTGAGGCTTTTGGTGGATGTGGCTCTAGAATTTCCCACTTTGGGAAAATAAATTTCTGCTTTTGGCAGCAGGGATGAAGATGTGACTCTGTCCCATCACCCAGCCACCCACTAGACTGTAACATCAGGAGAACAATTCCAGTTTTCTCTCCTCACCAAGGACTATGCAGATGAGTTACTGAACATTGATCTTCCTAGTATTATCTCGATAAAATTTCAAGAATACTCCCTTTAATAAAAGAATACACAGAGCACATTGAAGTTCCCACCCAGAGTGCAAGCTGTGCCCTTGCCACCTCTCATTGCTTCCTCCAAGTGTTCAACATGGAAAGGTACAGAGTTATCAGCAGAAAGGGAGATAGGGGTGCAGTATGTGTTAATCAGCAGGAGGTTAACCTGAAGTCATGAGACTTCATGGGGCCCAGAGTCAATGTTGAAGATTCCTAGGGCAACACCCTCCCAACTGTATCCCACTGTGCTGCCACCTCTGCTGGGTCTGTCGTGCCGATGGGACAGGACATATCTAGGGATGGTGATAGTGGTGTCTGGGACATTGTCTGTAAGGTACGATTCTGTGAGTATGACTATGTCAGGCTGTTGCTTGACTAGTCTGTGAGACAGCTCTTCCAATTTCCCCTTTTGTTCTGCTCACATCCCCAGGTTAGTCACTGAAACACTATAATGATGGCCAGTCATTGTTTTGATTTGAATCTCTGCAGAATAGAAGAGTACAGAGCAGGTGGAGAGCAACCTCTCTCTCTTTCTCTCTCTCTCTCACACGTGTGCGCGCATACACATACATACACACACACACACACACACACACACAGAGTCTCTTTCTCTCTCTTGCACACATACTCTCTTGCTCTCACATACACACACCCATACACACACTCTCTCTCTCTCCCCTCTCTCTCGCACTCAGTCACTCTCTCTCTCGCACTCAATCACTCTCTCTCTCTCTCTCTCACCCCCCCCCTGTCTCTCTCTCCCCTCTCCCCCTCCCTCCCCCCCTCCCTCCCCCCCCCTCTCTCTCTCTCTCTCTCTCACACACACACACACACACACACACACACACTTTCTGCACAAACTGTTTCACCTATTGCCTGATAGTCATTGCCACTTTGTGAAGTTTTCCTTTTATCCTGAATCAATGCACAATCCCAATCTGATTTCAATCTGGCACATCCAGGAAGGTACAGGCTTAATGTTTAATATGTTTGTTGAGAACTTGTGCTGTACCTGAATTGGTTGACGAAAACACTTGGCAGGAAGTAGGTTACTCTGAAAGTGACTTTCCGTTGGATTTCTGCCTCTTCCAGGAACTCCACGACACCTTGACGTTCATCGTCTCCGTGACACTCTGTTAAAAATTGATGATGTTCATTCTGTTCAACGCCTGAATGTCTGGTCACTAACAGTCGGCAAAACAGCAGCAATTGTGCATTTAAAACTGGGTAAGCAATTTACATGTTTGACACACTGTCTGATTAACTATTTAATACTGATACAGGGATTAATCCTTTTAGAACAGACTGTGGTTAACCCTTTAACTCAGTGTGGGGTAAACTCTATGGCACACACTGTTTGCGATGGTTTTGAGCATTTATTGGAGGTTAGTTTGCCAGCAGGATGGAAAGGTTCAATGTCCTGGCTTTGTTTCAGTGAGGCCACAGACCCAGACCAGGAGTACAAACCACAGAATGTCCCAGCGATAGGGGTTGGGCTTCACGCTCTGAGGAAACACAGTTACTGGTTGATTACAAAGAAATTGCAATGTTTGACTGGACTGTGAACAACTCATCCACTTGTCAATCAGATATAGGTCATTGATTGATCCAAAGTCTTAATCTGCTGAATTTCTATCACTAGAAAGAAGCATGAGTGTGGCAGAGAGTGAGAGAGGGGGAATATGGCAGAAAGCAAGGGGGAGAGAAAGAGAGAGAGTGAAAAGGAGAGAGTAAGACCGAGGGGAGTGTGGCAGAGAGAGAGGGAAAGAGAGAGGAGAGAGAGGGAAAGAAAGAGAGAATAAATTGTGGCAGGGAGAGAGAGGGAGACAGAGGGGAGGGTAGTGAAGAGAGACTTATACAAGGATTATGGGAGGGGTAGGGACAGTGAGAGAGGGAGGGTGACTGTGTGTAAAAGGGAGACAGTATGAAGCTGATGGGACAAAGTGGTGACACAATGTGGACAGTTTGTGAGTTGGTTACACTTCTTGGAAACAGTGATTGTGTTGAGCTGATGCTTTTGGAAGTTTGCTGTCAGTAAAAAACTTGGCTTCAGGAGGGATTGAGCTACCCTCTGTCTGAGAGTGTGATCCTTCACTTCTAAACCAATCTCTTCCTCTCACTGTTTGAGATTCTGAAAATGCTGCCATGTATCTTTCTGATAGAATCTGATAGATATTTGTGTCTTTTCAGTTCCGGAGAGTTTCTCCAGGTGGGAAGATGTGCAATGTCAGGTGCAGCAGATCATGCTGTGTACTTTCGGAATGCACCAATGCACTGTCCAAGTGCAGGTCTTCAAGGAGGCTGGGAATAACGCCTGCACTAAGTGCAGGTTCTTGGAAGCTTAGTAGCTGGACTCAGATCTGAGGAAGAGAATAACTTCACTCAACCGATTGCTCAGAAAATCTACAATTAATAATTTTATATAAATTTTAAAAAGTAGCATTTGAAAATTTTAACATGGTGACCATTGTCAAGGATACACAACTGTGATATTGAACATCACAAATCCCGATATGTCACTAAGTCACATGTTGCTGTCATATCACCATTAGGACCTCACTCCCAGCAGCTTCTCTTGAAGAATCTTTGCTGCTTAGTTACTAATCAGTCTGGTCAGCTTCTTCTCCAATCTCTGATAATTTCTATTCTGCAGTATCTGGACAGTATTACTGAATTGTTACACATCAAGTCCTGCATCATTTGCATTTTCCATTCACTACAAAGCAACTTTATTTTAGCTATTCCATTACAATATTTCAGTTTTGTTATTGACCTGGCTGTAGTTATGATTTGCCATCTATAGTATTGCAGATCCTGGGAATTCAGAAACCATATTGAGAATTGTCAAGTGAGTTTGAATAATTTCAGCACAGGTATGATGGAATGATTGGCTTCCTCATGTGCTGGGTCATTCATTGAGTTTCCAAAGCGTTGGGAACAGGTTCAAGGTTCAGGAGGTGAGTTAAGGTTTGTTATATATTGCTTCAGCCGAACGCTTAATAATTATGAAAGTGCCTCTAATGGAGTTATAATTTTAAGCCCTCTGCATTCACTGCTGGCCCCATCTCCATTCCCAATTGCTGTAGCTCTGTACGACCAACATTAGAAATTTGGTGGGAGGTGAAATATTTTAATATGTTTCAGCACGTTCTATCCCCCAGTACCATTGTGCCAAAGACTCTGGGATTTCGTTCTGCTTACAGAAGGCAGGTTGAAATGCAGGTCTGTACCTTGTGTAACTATTAGCTGAGTTGCAGGCAGGACCGTTATGTCACTGAGTTTGTTACAGCTGAATGTGCAACAGTACAGTCTGTCTGGAATGTGAACATAAAACCTCTGCAGTAAACGGACACTACTGTAACCCATGTACTTTATCCGAAGTAAAGACAGAAAATGCTGGAAATACACAGGAGTTCTGGCATCACCTGTGGGAAATAAAGGGTGAGGTAGTTCTGAGTAAAGGTAATTGACCTGCGACATAAACTCCATCTCTCTCCACAGGTGCAGCCAGACCTGCTGAGTTTCTCCAGTATTTTGTTTTATTATTTAATCTGCAGCATGTTGCTTTTTCTGAAATGTTGACTTTGTCAGTGTTTATTGTTAAACAGTGTTTTATAATCAACACTTT